ACTGCTGTTCTATCAGCTCCAAAGCTACACTCCAGTGGGATAGATCCAGTGACATGGAAAACCAGCACAGGTGCCAGTGGAAAAAACATGCACTTTACCACGACATGGTTGACCTTACATTTAATGCTGTTTGGCTGGTATAATATTGAGCTTGAAAGGAAAGAACCCAAGGAAATTTAAAACTTTATAAGATTACTAAATAGGGCAAACATTGATGAGGTAGCATGCTCAACACCTGTCAATTGCAGGAACATTCTGTGCAGTCACCAGGTAAAGTTTCCAATGGAAAAAGAAAATAGCAGGAAATGAAATACTGTGTGATATCATACATGTTGTAGAGTTAGATTAAGTTTCTTAAAACCACATTTAATTCCGGTTCTCACTAAGTTTTAATAGTTTCCCACCTAAATGAAGCCACTTTAAGGTAAGTTTCTGAGCGAAATATTTTTTAATGTGGCTTTTTCTTCATGTTCTTGATTCTTCAGGTCCCCAATCTCCAGCTGCTACTATGAAGCATCATCATCAAGATGATGCTTCATAGTAGTCATGTTTTTCAGGGGCTCAGAGTACTCTCAACTCCAAGCAAAGTCAATGAGAGATGCAGTTACTATATTCTGCTGCAAATGTATCCTATTAGCTCCTGTATTTTATTAGTGCTTTATCCTGTGCAAAATGCTAAAACCCCTCAACCCCTGCTGAGGGTAGTGGAAGTTAGGAGCACTTAGCATCTGCTGGATGCAAAGAAGGCTCTGATTAAGGCAGGCCAAAAAATAAAATGCTGAATGTGACAAATTTTGACTGAAAACAGTTTTCTTGAGAGGAAAAAACCTTCTCTTTTTTTTTTTTTAATAGTTTAAATAATTGTGTCATACCAGCTCTGTTTCTGACACACAGAGGTGTCTGGAAAAGTTGGAAGAATCAGATATTCCAGGCAGTTCTCAGCTTGCTGATACCAGGCAGCTGTACCCTCTTGACAGATCCAGCATAGACTTTGCCCCCATTGAGAGGATCCAGCACTTTTCAGCCACATCCTGCATATTGATGTCCCCTTGTCATATTAAAAGTAGGAACAGAAAAAGTAATTATGAGTAGTATATGATACAGTATTAGTCATAACTGTCTTTCAGAGCTTTAGGATATCCACAGAGTGCAAAGGATAATCCTGAAAAGCAGGCAGCTCAGAAAAACAGAGAATAAAATCCCAGGGTTTCGTTTTGTGCCTTCGATCACTTGACCCCAGTTTATAGCCAGGCTGCAAAGATGCTCAGATTAAAGAGCAGTGAAGGCCACCAATGCATAGGTAAGCAGACAGACAGAGAGAGAGAGGCTTTTACCAGTTTAAAAGGCTGCAATGCTTTTTTCACCAACTTTAATACATTCACACCTCTAACACATGTATGTGGAGGATTCATTCACTTGTTCTCATTACCACTGTTGTCATGAAGGGAACTGTCATTTAAATATTCTCTTTTATTTCCCTAATACAAGACATCACAACTGTAAGCAATAGTGTTTGGGCCAATTACCGTGGAAGTTACACATTTTTTTATTTTTTTTTTATTATTATTGTTATTTTAACAGTAGTCATATGCACAGAAATTGCAGACCACAGGATTGATATCCATTGTAGTCATGCCAGGGTGAAAATTAAAGCATAGATCACCCTCTGGAGGCTCCTGTGACTAAAAGAAAAGCCTTAACCCCTTATTATTCCTCTGATGACAGAAACCCATAGGGCAAATTAATAGACTGCAATACATGAAATAACACATTCATCAATTCATCCAAGAAGGGACTGAAACAAGCAAAATATTACTGGTTCTTCAATTAGAATGATGGGGTGGCAATGAGTCATTTTTTTGCATGGGCTGGCAATTTCCATGCATATTTGCAAGGTAGGTATATGATATATATATATATATGAGATATATATTTATATATATGTTTATAAAACCCCTATATGATGGGTTTCTCCTCTCTGCCTAGACCAAGCAAGTGATCATTTTTGTCCATCATTGGCTGAGGTTATTGGATAAAGCCATGCCACTACTTTCATCTCTTAATGCTTGCATATAATTTTTAGATCAGAAGAAATACTGTGTTTAGTACTTGCAAAAAGTCCCATCAAAAGCTGCATAAAAATAAGAGCATGGAGCCTCTGCTGGTGTGAGTGAGAGGGCAAAAAAAAAAAGACACCTTGTATCCTTAAACTGTACTTAAAAAAGTAAAATGCAAAGGAAAAAAAACCCAAAGGAAAAAACTGATTTTTGCTTAAGAACCTGAAACCGTGCACAGCAAAAGTTGTCTGTGTCCACAGTGTGGTTTCAGTCACACAGAATTTGATCAACTCTTGAAATTCTGCAGGACTTTAAAATTCACTAATATTAATGCTTGTCTAAGTATGTGACAGTTCAAGTAGGAAACAAGGCTAAACTGCACTAGATTATCATGAAATCAAAGAATCATAAAATGGTTTGGGTTGGAAGGGACCTTAAAAAGCATGTAATTTCAACCCCACTGCCATGAGCAGGCACTGTCTATATTTTATTCCAATTTTCTCTAAACTGACATTTAAGCTTCTCTTTCATCCTGTGTAATACAAAGGATAGATATGACTGTTAGAAATAATAGCTTTTTTCTGATTAGTTCCAAAACTAAGCCAAAGCTTCTCTGACAACTGTCCTAATTTCAAGTAAGAATATAGATAAAAACATGCAACTTCCACTGCATTTCCTCTTACTTACCATTCTGTTTCCATGCACTAGACTAGTCAGTCATCATGACAGGCTATTTAAGTCATCTCAAAATTCAAAACATATCTCAATACTTCAGCGTGTCATTATTTCAACAGAATGTAAATCTGGGTGGAATCAGAATAAAAAAAAAGCAGAAGTAAATCAGTAGAATTTCCTCTGCTAGATAAAACTCACCCATTTTTTTTCCCCCTTCCCCTTCACTTCTTTTTATCTCCCTTATGCTTCTTGTTGCTCTAATTGTTGTTGCTTTATATCTTTTGTAAAAATACCTGGAAAATATAGACTCATATATGGACTATTCACTTAGGAATTGGACTTGAGGATCTTTGGGGGTCCCTTCCAACTTATAATATTCTGTGAGAGAAGCATTACTTGAGGCCCAAAATATGTACCACTGTTTTGGCACCCAAGATCCAGGACTACAGATCACATCAGATCATGACTACAATGAAATCATGAAAGGAAACGTGCAGAAGGACAGTTTTATACTAAATAATCAATCATTCCATGGAGGTGAAACTGGAGACACCAACCTTAGGGGTGTACAGAGAGGCAGAGCAGTATTTTTTTCAAAATTAAAAAACAAATAAATAAAAATTAAAAAAAGCCAAAATAGGAAAAGCAGTCCTGCTGGTCTACCATGCTCTTGCTACCCTCCCTCCTCCTCTAAGATTCTTTTAAAAATAGATAAAAGTCATATCAAGGTTTTGGATCCAAGCACGGTGCTGTTCTACTGCTATTTTAATAACAGTGGATCTCTTTCCCAAAGATTCACATTTGGTCCACATTTCAGCACCCAAGTACATAAATGTGATTTATTCCTTGAAGACTCCTAACCATTTTTTTTTACTGGTATGGATGCTTGCTTATGGAGCCATTCTCCACCCTTTGCCAACTCTATTTGAAAGCCAAAAACTAAAAGACCGTATTCAGCTAAGTGAAAAATACCCTTGCTTTACAAACAGAAGCTGCTTTTTTTTTTCTACATACACTTAAAGGTCAATTGCTGTTGCATTTCACAGTATTTAGATGAAAGGTTGCTGGAATATCCACATGCACTTTGATTTAATAGAAAGAGTGGATCCTTATCACACCAAAACTCTGAGACCAGAAGTCTCAAGCAACCCTGATCGAAAACAAAAATCAGGGTCATCCAAAACCATCAAATTGCAAATGTAAAACTATTAATACTACAGATAATAATTGAAATATCTATGTCAAAATTAGAGTTACAGACTCTGGTCACGTTCAGGAAAAAATAATGGATTCTAGAACCTTTAAACATCGTGAGAATGCTCATTAGCTCTTCATGTATGTGGAAAATAATAGAATATCTCTGTCCAATATATTCCCATCTGTTGGGGAATACTTGGGGAGGGAAATTTTTGGGATGAGTGACCCTCTTCCTACAGCATGCAACCACCGTTGGTACAAAATATTATTTGCACAAAAAATAATATATATACAAAATAATATATATACAAAAAATTATAAAACATTCCTGTGTCATTCCAAACTGAACAGGAAGCAATAGCTGGATTAGCATGAAATCAGATTTTGGAGACAGAAAAAGGAGATTTCCCTCTTTTCCACCCAACCACTGACTCTCAGAGGCTGGTTTCTTGTACAACTCTGCCTTATACTGAATTCAGCCTCTACCTGACCCTATTTCAAGTACTTTATTTCTGCAGCAACAGCAACTGAGGCTGGTGCTGCCTCCTTGACTTTGTGTCACATGAGAACACTTAAACAGACGTAAACTGCATTTTCAGCTTTAAAATCCCTCTCAACCTATTCAGTTTTCCAAAGGTGTAACAGAAAAAGAACTCTTCATGGACAAGGAACAGGGAACAAAAGCTTGGGCATAGCATTATGCCTCTTCCTGGTAGAGAGGAGAACTTTTCTCTACCAACAGGCCTGCGTAAGTCCTAACAAAAAGACAGTTATCAATTGCAGGCTGGTATGTAGTCAAGAATTTCTGAAAATACTCTCTTTTTGCTCAGAGGTTTATAAAAGGTCCTCAAGGAAAAGTGCAGTAACAACATTATGAGAAACTCAATAGAAAACCACATTTTCCTTTGCTTGATTCAAAGTTTTGAAAAAATTACAATGACCTTACAAAAACTATATAATCTGTTTTACTGCTGTTCTTAAAGCTAACAAGAGGGAGAGGATGAAATTACTGTGTATGCATTTGCATTACTAGTTCATTGCAGTTTTATGCTCCAGAAACTACTCTGAAGAAAACATATAGAGACCAGTGGAAGGGGATAATGACACCAGTAAGTCATCTTGAATATTACTATCGGTAGAAATACATCCAGGGATATCTTCTAATTAAGTAATTGTTATCAGAATCTCAGCCAGACACTGGCACTAATTCTGACTACTTAGTAGCCATAAAATAGTCCTGGAGACAGCAGATCAGCAATTAATAAAATATGGGGCAGAATAACTTGCCCCTGCTTTTCCAGTAGAAATTATAGAAGCCACTAATATCCAAGCTCCTTTTCTCATGAAAGAAAGGAATTTAAAGAAGATCCTGTTAGGAAAAAAATCTTCTGTATTATAAATTAAATGGCAATGGGTTACTGAAAACCCCATTTTGATGTTATGGACTCGTGTAACCCCAATAAAACAAATGGGGTAAAAGTACTTAAAAGTAAGTCCTGTCCAAATATATTATTATTCCTCTGCCAGGGAAAATATTTTCCTTCATCAGCTGTGATACATATTTAAGCTTCATATATTTGTAATGATGGTGTAAAGACTGAGTGATCTGATGTTCCTCTCTTTCACAGCTCTGTAGAAAGAAGATAATAAGTCTGGACACAAAAAAGTTCCAGTAAAATTTGGACAGCAGACCCCATCAGAATGTGTTGAACTCTAAAAACCTGACCCAGCAAAGCATTTCTGAACCTGCTGTGTATTAAGCAAACAAGTAATCTGATGTATTCTACTGGACCTATTAACACTTTAACAAAAAACTTGTAATTTTTATTAACTTTTTAATTTTTTTTTAGATAAGGTATCCTACATTTCTACATTAGGCAAGAGCTGATGCAAAGCACCCCTGCTAAGACCCTGAAGGCTGTGGAACCTGAGCCTGAAAAAGCAAGTTTAAATGCAGACATATCAAGAGATATTTTAATCATATAATAAATGCAGAAAATATAATGCTAAATTTGGGGATTTTTTTTTTCTGTTTCATTAGAAAGAACGATAATACATTTTTTTTGAAGGTAGGAACTCCTTTTTGTTCCGTACAAGCTTTCTATGGTCAAAATTGGTTTATGCAAAAGAAGTTATAAAGTTTGCATGAAAGCCTGAACTTTTCCAGCCTTCTTATGCTTGCTTGAGTGACAGAATGATATTATTCTGAAGGTTGCACAGTGACTCTTTGATCTTAAAGCTTGTAAAGGCCGTCTCACATCTGCATGTTCTAATATTCGCTGATAATCTGACTTGAACTTCAAGGCTTATAAGACCTTGGATCAGTGATTTGCAATTCAAGTGCCTCAGAAAAAAAAAAAAAAGGCAGCTTAGTCTTATTAAATGTTGTTGTGAAGCTATTACAGGCAAGGGTTTTTTTTTTAAGCAGCTTTGAAAGTTCTGTCCAGAAACTTTGCCTACATAAAATACCTACAGAATGTCACCAATATCACTGTGAGCTCCCTTAGGTCTCCTTTTCCCTCTGCTACCCCTAAGAAATCCACTCAAAATTTTAAGCAGGGGTTAATCACAATAATGAAACACTCAAACAGGTAATCTAAGAAAATAAGACGGAAGAATTTACGTTTTTAGCTTCGTCCTGTAGATCTGCCCCTTTATTGCTCTGTGCTGTTTGTACTGCAATACAAATTGTGACCCTTCGGGCAAGGATTGTCATTATGCAGAGAAATAAAAGAGAAAACAGTGCTAAGATTTAAACAGAAAAGATGAGACACTAACACCAAACTCTGAACATGATGCAAATTGTAAAGAGAGAGCCTGAAATGATTTTCCTGTGCAAATTCCTCTGGCCCAGAAGCCCAGCCTGACTGACAGGGGGGACTTCAAGGTTTGATGGGTCCAACCTGGCATCAGAAATGTCCTCAGTGGAAGGAACTGCACCGGGGGGACGAGGCTGTGCCAGCTCAAAAAAGCACTACATTGCTCTGAAGAAAATGGGAAAGGCTGCCTCCAATTTGTGCCCTTTACAAATCAAGTTATGCCAAAGTTCACTCAGGCTGAAGCACTCTTCTACTTTCCCATCTCTCTCTTTTCTGTCTCTCTCACATTTTACATTGTTTCTCAGTGGCTGCATGAAATACTGATGCCACTTTATCAGTTTGCAAGTAACCACTGTTCCATCTTTATTTTAGAACACGGAGTTTGCATCAGTGATTTTCTTAATTACTGTCACAGGTGTGAAATTAATTCTTATTTCTTGCCATTCAAGTTTTGTGTTTGCTAAAGAGCAACAACATACATATTTAAAATTGTACTTGAAAGAACATTATGGAATATAGAAAGCAGTATTGGATATTCATAAGGGAAATGACAAATTATTGCTATTTGGAGATTCACAAAACCTTCAAAGACTTTGTTTTCATTTTCTTTAATTTCACAGTAACGTTGTTCTGAATGTATGTAACATTCCACCGAAGGATATTGTTAAGCAAACAAAAATAATTTGTTAGTTTTTGTGGAGAGAACTAAAATAAAATAAAAAAAAAGAAAGAGAACAAACTATGACCCTTAGAATCATAGAATCGTGTGGAACAGATGTCATTAACAACTTAAGGCACTTCTTAGACATCAAACAGCACACTAGATAAATGTTAGGAGTGGAGGAGATATAAAAACCATGTAGTAAGAAAATCCTTCCTGTATTTCAGTGTTCAGTAACAGAGAATTCATCAGAAACTAAAACCTCACAAATAGCATGATGTAAAAAAAACAGTGCAAAGGATGTTAAGGGGTTGGAATGGACCTTTAAGAATCATCTAGTCCCAACTCCCTCTGCCATGGTTTTTGACCACAACTATTTGTGTGTGGCCATGCAGCCAGTTCTTTACCCCCTGAATGGTCCATCCATCAAATCTGTGCCTCTGCAATTTGGAGACAAGGATGTCCTGTGGGACAGTGACAAACATGTCCACATCTTATCACATATACATAAAGTGGGATTTTTTAACTGATGATATTTTCCCAACTCCCATAATATAATGTATGTTTAATTCTTATCATTATAGATAATTTCTGTTTGTTAGGTGAGCAAAATTATTACAGCTCTGAAATACCCCACAGTGTTGACATTTTTTTATTTGAAGTAACATTATGACTATATTTTAACTAAGACTGAGAAGATAAGAGCCTGATCCACAACATATCTTGGACCCATAGAAATTCTGGAACTTTAGTTCACCTGTAAATCTGCACTTCCACACAGCCCCAGCTCTCTAAAGAACAGATAAACTCTAGTACCTTAGTGTTTTCCATGGATTTGAAGTTGTGTCAGTGACAAGCATCTGGTCCATCTCAACAGGTCTTAGTGTCCAGCTCCCATAACCAGAAACTATAAACTAGGCTTTGGACCAGTGATTGCAAACAACAGACTCCCCAAAGCTTAACAAGGTGCTGGTCATTACTCAAGACACATGAGCCATCATTTTTAAGATCACTACAACTGCAATCTAATTTAAGACATTTCATTTTGTGAGGGTCATGTGTACAAGAATCTCACACACAGCTAACAACTCAGCAGCTAGGATTGTTTCAGTCTCCCTCTTTTTTTCCAGTACAATACTTAAAGAACTGTAAAAAGAAAGAACAATCAATCTATTCTGAGTTGAGACCACTAGAATTCAAACCTCTTTGCACACGACAATAACTGATTATCTGTATATAATTAAATACTTCTAAAACACCCCAAAAAGAAATGAGATGTAGGTTTGACTGGCATTCTAGTCTTATTTTGTGAAAAGCGTTATGTTTCAGCCTTCATTTTGAGTTTATACTTCACTACATCCTTCAGAACAAATTGCAACCAGCATATTGGATTGTACCTTTGTAGTTAAGTGTGTGGCTTTTAATAAAGGAAAAGTGAACTTTGAATATCTCCTGTTTAAGTGAAAGCCTTAAAGGGTGCCTGTGTTTCCACACTCTGTTCAGTCTCAGCTGGTGAAACATCAGCAGATGAGTCACAAGAGGGAGAAAAGAAGACAAAAATCTTTTCTCAGACAAAGCCTCAACCTAAGACTCAGAGACATTGTTAATAGGAGACAGATTTTTTGTTTTCACACCATGACAGAAAGGAAATCGTGGATGTGGCTGTGTCTCCCTGCAAAACATTTTTTTATAAAAAGAAGTTTTTTTATTCTTCACATGGTCTGTCACACGTTTGCAAAAGCAGCTGTGTGACAGGCTGCTAATAAGAGCAGAGCTCTGCAAAAAGCGTGCATAATATATTGGGCATGGTTAGGAATATACAGTATTAATCCTGAACCTCTAGCATGGCTTTTCATATGCCCAAGAAGGAATGCCAAGGAATACCATACACTCCCAGATGTTCCCAAAATGCTGCACTTGAACTGAATGTCCAGACTGTGTTAAACTCAGTATGTCTGGAAGAAAAATTAGGATCTATTCTGACAGTGGAATAATCACCTACAAAATGCAGATGAACAGGAGAGTGTCTCTGTAGGGTTGCTATGGGTTGCATTTTTATTAATTATTTCAACATAAGAGTGTGATGCACTCGCTTGTGTCCACTGCTTCCCAAATATTTCTCTCTTTCTCTATCCCAGTATTTTTAAATGATATAGCATATCACTGGTATATTATCATTGATGCCTTAGGTTGGATAGTTTTCCTATCATCAGTTTGACACTAATAGTCTATAAATCCTCCATATGAAATTCCTGCAGGCACAGTTTTCTATACTGGATGCATTTAGTCGAAGGTGCTTTCTGCTGAAGAATAGAATGTAGATTATCACAGTGAGAGGGCTTTAACTGCCATCACCTACCTTGCTGTTCATGGGAGGGAGTGTTCTTCCCACACAGCTTTGGAATCAGCTGTATTCATGTGACAGTTGTAGAAAGCACATGGTATATTGACTATTAAATCAAAATAGTGATTAAATAAAAAGCAGTGGATTTCTGCGGGGCCTAAATCTGCTCTTCTGTGAGTAAACTCCCCTGAGATTTCAGGGAGAAACATAAATATTCGTGGATTCTTGATTGGGTTTGAAAATGCACGTATGATTAAACTCCACCCAAAATATCCATGCCACTAAAATACCCAATGGGTCCAAGGTACTTAATAAAGTCACCTCAGAGCTGTGGCTTTGTGCTGGAGAACCATCTCTCTGAGTGAGGACTAGAGCTTATTTTCCAAAGAACAGTAATATCATGGCATTCTAAAACACAAACTTCCATTACTGAGCTATTTATTAGATCTCAAAAATATTAAAAGTTGAAAGCTGCCCAACCACTCATCCATATCCAGAGATTCCTATACTGAATGTACAAGAATCCTATATGGCTGTAAGTGAATACCAATTTTTATGCAGTGGCAGTGATTTAAGTTTTCTTATACAGAATGTTATTAGTTATTTAAACCTATCTTGGGATCCAGGACTAGTACTGAAATTGTTTCAGTTGTATTGATTGTCCTTACAGCACTGAGTACTTCCCATCTATCCAACTCCTCTGTTCTGTAACTGGCCACTCATCATGAGAAATGATGCACTTCAATTTAATTAGCTTGAAAAACATCCACATTAATCTGCTGATATTTTTTTCATGCAGAATGCAGTCTCAGGGATATGTTACAAAGATATGCTATTTATTGTTTGGGGCTTTTTTATTATTTGTTTTGTTTCTTTGTTGGTTTTCTGCATCACAAGGCTGGCACAGAATCACAGCTGCTAGCAGTTTTTATTCACTGTAAAAGGATTGTGTTTAATTACTTAATGCCCTCCTGATTTAAGGAATCCATATCAATTATTTAATTAGAATTCTGCTATAATTATTTGAATGCTCACAAATCAATTAAAAACTTCTCACCTGTTGCTAGTTCACCAACTTCAAAGGAACATTCTGAGAAAAGGCAAAAATTACATAGAACAGAAAATCCCATCCTCACTCCAAAATCCATGTTGGAAACACAGTAAACAAATTTCTGGTGCTCTGAATTGACAAGTTCTCCTCTATGAAGCCAGTAATCACAGCAAATTCACGTGGTGTTCAGGCAGGTGTTCTCTGCTTTTCCACGTTTCTGCCATGATAATTATTCCCACTGAAGAACTTAGAGGACTCCAGCAATGTCAACTTATTTAAGTACCATGAATTAACATTTCAAACTCTCTGCTTTTTGGTGTGCATCTGAATGCAGGTGGCTTTCAGCAAACATCTGACACACCAAGCTCAAAAGGAGCAATTTGGAGCAATTCTGCAGCAAAAGGGCTCTTACTTCTCTGTACATAGAGTTGGTCTACTTTGCTGTCTGACCCTGCACCATGCAATCTTTCCAATCTC